AATTCTTTATCTTGTAATTCCAATTTCTGTAGCCCTTTGAGGGCTAATTCATTATTGCTCCTTCAAACCCGTACTCAGGATGGCTTAAAAATCCTATTTACATGAACTTAATCTCTGGGAATCCTGTTAGGTCTGCATAGAAGAAAACCTTCCCCAAAGGTCATTTTCTTCATCCAGAATCCCAAGGTTCCCAACCAAGGACCACTTTAAAATAGTTTCTTGAGCTTTAGGAGCAAAACAAACCCAAATTTCAAGGCTGCATGATGTCAGGACTATGGTTTCAAATTCTCCCCAGGGAACTGGTTTTTCCTATGTAAAACTGAGGTGGAGAAAGACTACCTACTGGATTGCTTCCCATGGCTAAGTAGTAGACTTTTCTGCCTACCCCTTCGCTGGAGTTATAGTCTTCTAGGTTGTGGCTTTGTTTCAGAAGTTTCTGCCCGATCCTCCAATGTTGTATGATATCTAAGACACTCCTCCCATCCCACACAGACTGTTGAAATTTAAGGCTCTAACTGCGACTTCCATACATTGTTGTGGGATTGCAAAATATAGCCAACTTAGAAAATGCACTGGTATTTTCTTATAAAGTTAAACATACACTTCATATACAGCCCAGCAATCCCACTTCTACATACCCAAAAGAAAACTTGTGTTCATATGAAAACCTGTATGCAAGTATTTTTAGTGGCTTTATTCATAAATGCCCAAATTGCAAAACAACCTAAAAGTCCATGAATTGAGGGATGGATAAACACACTGTAGTACCTCCATACTACAGAATTAGAGTACCATAAGAAGAATGAATCACTGATGGGTGAATCTCAACATACATACATACATGATTTATAGAACATTCTGGAAAATGCCAAAAGCATTACAATGGGGGGATTTTTGGAAGTGATGGAATGGTCCTTTATCTTCACTATGATGGTGTTTACATGATTATATCAATTTTCCAAAACTCAAAACTGTACACTTAGAGGAATGAATTTTGTTCTATGTAAATTATATATATTTTTTTTAAGAAAAGCCCAGAACCAAATGGCTTCATCAGTGAATTTTACACATCATTTAAATAAGATTTGACAACTACCCTTCTCAAACCTCTCCCCCAAAATGAGGAAGTTTTCCCAAAATCCCCAACTAATTTAAGGAGATTAGCATTATCCTGATACCAAAATCAGGTAATACTACAAGAAACTACAGGCCAATAACCCTGATGAATATAAATGTAAAAATTAAAAACTTAGCAAGTTGAATTCAAGGGCACATTAAAGGATCACACATTATGATCAAGCAAGATTTATCCCTGAAATGCAAATATGGTTCAATGCATGCAAATCAATAAATGTGACACATCCCAATAGAAAGATAAAAACCATACGACTGAGGCACCTGGGTGGCTCAGTCACCTTCAGCGCAGGTCATGACCCCAGGGTCCTGGGATCGAGCCCCGTATCGGGCTCCCTGCTCCACGGGAAGCCTGCTTCTCCCTCTCCCACTCCCCCTGCTTGTGTTCCCTCTCTGTCTCTCTGTCAAATAAATAAATAAAATCTTTAAAAAAAACCATACAATTATCTTATAGATGCAGAAGTATTTGACAAAATACAACTTCGTGATAAAAAGACAAAAAATTGGGCAAAGGAACAAACTTGAACATGATAAAAGCCATGTATGACAAGCCCACAGCTAACATCATATTCAACAGTGAAAGGTTAAAAGCTTTTCCTCTAAGATGAAAAACAAGGCAAAGGCACCAACTCCTATTCAACATAGTAATAGAAGTCCTCATCAGAGCAATCAGACAAGAAATAAAGGCATCCAAATCAGAAAGGACTAAGTAAAATTGTCTTTGTTTGCAGGTGATAGGACTTTACGTATAGAAAATCCTAACTATTCCACCAAAATCTTCTAAGTCAGTAAAGCTGCAAGATACAAAAAAACATACAAAAGTCAGTTCCATTTTAATATACTAACAATGGAATACCTGAAAAATGAAAGAATTCCATTCACAATAGCATCAAAAACAGGAAAATACTCAGGAATTTAGCCAAGGAAGAGAAAAATCTGCACAATGAAAACTACAAAACTTTGATGGAAAAGTTGAAGTAGACCCAAACAAATGTAAACATATCCCATATTCATAGATTGGAAGAATACTGTTAAAATGTGCAAAGCCATTTGTAGGTTGAGTGCAATCCTTATCAAAATCTAAATGGCATTTTTCAAACAAAAAAAAGAACAAAGACACTAAAATTTGTATGGAACCACAAAAGACTCCTAATAGCCAAAGTAATGCTAAGAGAAGAACAAACCAGGAAGCATCACATTTCCAGATTTCAAACTACATTAGACCTTTTAATGGTGCAAGGGTTAGAAGCACCAACCTCCATGCAGTCAAAAATACACATGTAACTTCGGACTCCCCCAAAACTTAACTACTAATAACGTAGTATTGACTGTAATATCTAACCAGTAACATAAACAGTCAATACATATTTTATAAGCTATATGTATTATATACAGAAAACATTAATAAAATCCAAAGGGAAAATAGATTTATAGTACCACACTGCATTTATTAAAAAAATTCATATGTACATGGACCCATGCAATTCAAACCCTTTGAGGTCAAAGGTCAACTGTATACTATAAAGCTACAGTAATCAAAGCAGTCCGGCAAAAAAAAAAAAAAAAAAAAAAAAAAAGACACAGAGACCAATAGAGCAGGATTGAGAGCCCAAAAATAAACCCCCGCAGATACAACTACTTTTTGAAAAAGGAGTCAAGAATATTTAATAAGGATGGTCTCTTCAACAAATGGTGTTGGGAAAACTGGATAACCACACAAAGAAGTTGGATTACTGTATGACCACTAACAAAAATTTTAAATGGACTAAAAAATTAAACACAAGACCTGAAACCATAAAACTTCTAGAAGGAAACAGGGGGAAAGCTCCTTGGCATTGGTCTTGGCAATTATTTTTTGGATAGGACACCAAAAGCACAAGCAATAAAATCCAAAATAATGAGTAGATCTACAAATTAAAAAGCTTCTACACAGCCAAAGAATCAACAAAATGAAAAGAGACCCTGTGGAATGGGAAAAAAAACATTTGCAAATCAGCAATCTGGCATAAGTTTAATATTCAAAATATATTTTTTTTAAGATTTTTTTTTATTTATTTGAGAGAGAGAGAGAGAGAGAGGGAACACAAGCAAGGGGAGTGTGAGACGGAGAAGCAGGCTTCCTGCTGAGCAGGGAGCCCAATGCAGGGCCCAATCCCAGGACCCTGGGATCATTACCTGAGCTGAAGGCACACGCATAATAACTGAGCCACCCAGGTGCCCCTAATATCCAAAATATATTTTAAAACTCCCACAACACAATAGCAAAAAAGCAGATTAAAAAATGGGCAGAGGAACTCAATAGTCATTTTTCCACAGACATGCAAATGGCCAAGATACACGAAAAGGTGCTCAACATCACTAGTCATCAGGCAGATCAAAACGACAAAGAAAGATCACCTCACATCTGTAAAAATGGCGCTCATCAAAAAGCCAGAAAAATAACAAGTGTGGAGAACAAGGAACCCTTAGTACACTGTTCATGGGAATGTAAATCTGTACAACCACTATGGAAGTTCCTCAAAAAATTACGAAAAGAAGTACCATGTGATCCAGCAATTCCTACATCTGGGTGGATTAAGCTGAGTATATATCCAAAAGAAATTAAATCACTACCTCAAAGAGATATCTTTACCCCCATATTTATTGACACATTATTCACAACAGCCAAGATATGGAAAAAAACCTAAGTATATGTCAACAGATGAATGGCTAAAAAAGTTGTGGTATATATACAATAGAATAGTATTCAGCCATGAGGGAAAAAAATCCTGCCATTTCCAACATGAATCAACTTTGAGGGCATTATGCAAAGGGAAGAGGGAGAAAGACAGATATCACACGGTATCATTTATAGGTAGAATATAAAAAAACCTGAACTCACAAAGACAGTGGAATGCTGGTTGCAAGGGGTTAGGGGAAATGGGGAGATGCTGGTCAAAGTATACAAATTTTCAGTTATATTACAAGTAAACTCTGGGGATCTAAGGTACCCATGGTGATTCATGGTGATTACAGTGAATAATACTGTATTATGTACTTCAAATTTGCCAAGAGTGTAGATCTTAAAATGTTCTCATGACCAAAAAAAAAGCCAATGATAATTATGTGAGAGGGAGGTGTTAGTTAACACTGTTGGTAATCATAATGCAATATACAAGTATATCAAACAGTTACACGTCTTAAAGTTACATAGTTATATGTCAATTATATCTCAATCAAATTGGAATAACAGGAAAGAAACTTAAGTTTCCAACTTCTCGGTAATGGCAGATATCGCTCTGGTTTTCACTTTTCTCCCTGTATTCAGTCTCTAAGAATTTTTTTCTTGTAAGTGCAATGATGGGTCTTAAAAGATTTTTGTTCTGCTTAATCCAGCATTTATAGGCATTTTGAAGATATATTAAACTTTTTTTAAAAAACCTCTATTCTACCATATTGCCCAATGCAAAAGTCTCCCATTCTATTGAAGATCAAGACTTTAAAATTTCATATTCTTAACTTCTTCATTTTATCACTGTGTCCTGTTTCTATAAAGTACAACAGTGTAGTTATTGTATTACCTTCTTTATAGATAAGAAAACCAAAGTTCACAGAAGCTGAGACTTGTTGCCTATACACCGCCAGATTCTGTGAATGGAAACCAATTTGAAGATTATCTTAAGCCTCTCAAAACTAGGTAAGACACATTAAAACGATCATTTACATTATGCATCATCCATACTTGGCAGTACAGTGAACTGTGTGACCGTGAACAAGTCACTTAATTCTGTCTAGTTTCAAAGCACCTACTTCATAGAATTGCTGTGACAATTATTCATGTCAAGCACATAGAAAAGCACATGGCAGAAGTAGAAAGAAGTTCTTACTTTGAATAAGCCATGCTTTTGGTTGCGCTGACCAAGCCATAAGTTGCTTCCTGGGGGAAGGTTGGTTTCAGGAGGGTCAATCACGCGTTCATAAATCCTGTAGGGACAAAGAACAATTATTAATAAAGAGTTTACTCAAAACAGAACCAAAAGGTTAGTATGTTGTTTGAAGTCTTCATGGTATTAGCTGCTGGTATAGAGAGATGGAGGCAGTATAGGGCATGTTTTAGATGATAGGTAACATGAACGTAGAGATCTACTTCTTGACAACACTTGGACACATTAACTGGGCCTCTGTTGGCTTTCTATTTTCACCTTTTCGGCAGGGAAAGGAGGAAAAAGGTAACATTTTTAAGTGTCTGCTCTGAGCAATGATCCTTATACCTACTCTGTGAGTAAAGTGGTTTGATCCACGTTACAGATGAGAAAGCTGAGGTTCAGAGAACATAAATGGGTCAACCACAAGTTAAGACCGGGAGCAGTTAAGTTGGGATGAGAATCCCCATCTGCCTGGCTGCAAAGCCCATGCACTCCCCTTTGCACTCTACTCCTCCCTGGCTTTGGTTTATCTGGCCCCTACCCCTTTCTACAGTAACCTGCTATACTCCTTCCAGCAAGTGAGCAGTTGCCCACATGGTAATATGATTAGTCTACAAAATCAAGTAACTGAAATCATCCCATCAACAAATATTTACTGAGCACTTTTTAGGCTCCAAGCTCCACATGAGGCAACAGGAGATAGAGCCATCAACCAGACACCCAAAATCCTGCCCTCATGGAGCAAAAAAGAAAGTCCCATATATGAAAAAAATCTTCACAAGATATATGAAGATATAACTAATAGAGGATACAACAGCCCCAGGATCTTTGAAGGTATCTCCTGAAACTACTCAACAATTGAAGAGTCTCAACTGTTCTGCCCTACCAAGCCCTAGTCACAGATCTTGAGATTTGTGCTCCCCTTAGAAATAGTCCCTGCAACCACGAGGTACCAGCTGATCACAGGCCTTCACCTCACCCCTAGCAAGTGCCTCTCAACACCTTCTCTGCTGAGAAGGGGAAGGAGAAGCTTGCCTGAGAACTGAATTTGTCATTAGATGCTCAGAAGATTCTGGACGGGGTGCCATAGAGACCATCGGGGAATTTCAATTACTCCTGATGGCCCGTCCATTCCTTGCTCTCCTCAGTTCTTGCTCAGAGCAGCTACAGGAGAAGTCAGCTCCAGGTACTTCCAAAGGTCTGGAAATTCATCAGACCCCCATGCTGGAAGGGAACTGACTGCCACCTGCCAAAGAGCTACCTGTTCCTCCAGTGGCTCTCAAAAGGCAAGAACTGAGAGACCACCCACTGTGTCACAGCCAGGGATGGAATGTGATATGTTGCAGTTGGGAGCACTGCAGCCTTGTAGCTTAGCCACACTGTCCATCACTCTTACTCCCCACTGGAAAAGTGCTGTTTCCTAACAATATTGCAAGGTATTCAATGGAGAAAGCTCTAAATGTATTCGATCCATTTGTACTCATTTTCGTCTCGTTATAAATGGATGCTCAAAACAAACAAGGCAATATAAGTCTCCCTTAAAAAGACAGGCTATGTTTTCTCCACCGGAACACAACCTCTTTCACAGCTTAGAATGAACAATTTTAGATGAAACAATCATCTGTCAAAACTGCTTTAACCCAAGAAGCTGCTATATATGCTTCCTTTAAAAGGGGTTTTTTCTAATATTCTCAAAAAACTAGAAACAAGCCAAATTTACAACAAAAGTGAAATACGTAAGTTATAGATCAGCTTGATGTAATTTACTACAGTCATTAAGAGTGACAAATATGCAGGTTATGAAATATGGGAAAGTATAGACAAAATAATCTTCACTGGAGGAAAGTAGAATGTAAAATTATTTATGAACTACAGAGACAAGGATGCAAAAATTTTGTTCCCTGTTGGTGAATTTCAGAGGAGACCAGAAAGAAATGGAAATCGCTGTATTTAGGTAAAGAGGCAGAAGCTTAATTTTCTGTGAGGTTGTTTCACTAATACATTAAAAATACTATCAAATTATTTATCTGAACCTTTCATTTTAAAACATTTGCATCTGTCGGAAGAAGAGCTTTCAATTTCAATGCTTTCTTTTTGGTTTTAAATATATCAGAAGGTGAGCTCCAATGAGCAGAGTAGGCTGTTAATGTTTATTAAGTGCATGAAGGATCAAAAAAAAAAAAATCAACTTTCTATCATGCCTTGTCTTCCCAAGTATAAATGCTCCTTCTGCCTTAGAAATAGTGGGCCTCAGATATTTGCTTTCTCAACCATCAGCCCAAAAAGGAGGGCAGTGCCCCGGTGGCTGTGTCAAAGGGGTATGATTTCGGGGGTCACACAGCCCCCATCAGGATCCCTTCTGATGCCACGAAAATCTGCTGCCTCCCCCGACCCCACCCCAGCCCTGCCAATTCACTCCAAGTGACCGACCTCACTGGAGAATTCCAGGTAGCAGGCCAAATCAACAAGCTGGATCCAGACACAGCAAAATGAAGAATGCTTAAAAACAGTGTTAAAAAAATAAATACCCACACAGAGGAATCCTATATGAACTCTAGGAAACAAACTGAAGGTTGCTGGAGAGGAGGTTGGTGGGGGGATGGGGTAACTGGGTCACAGGCATTAAGGAGGGCACATGATGTAATGAGCACTGAGTGTTATATGCAACTGATCAATCACTAAATTCTACTCCTGAAACTGATACAGTATATGTTAACTAAATTGAAGAATTAAAAAAAAGCAGATAAACCATATTTGAGGCACATTCCACAAAATAATTGCCTGTACTCTTTCAAATGTCCATGTCATAAAAAGCAAAGACTGAAGAATATTTGCCAATTAAAAGAAACCAAAGGGACATAAAAACTCCATGTGAAACAGGATCCTTGTTTGGAGCTGGGGACAGGAAAAAAAAAATCCTATGCAGGACTTTAGTGGGAAAATTGGTGAAAGTTGAACTGTATATTATATAGTAGTATTGTATTGATGTTCTATTTCCTGATTTTGAGAACTGGTCATGTATACTGAAGTGTCTTCCTCTTAGGAAATACACACTGAAGTATTTAGGGGTAAAGTCCTGATATTTGCAACTTCTTCTCAAAGGCTTCAAAATAACAGTGTGAATATGTATAAATACAGACACATGTGCATGTGCACATTGTGCAGAGAGAAAACAGAATCTGGGCCGAGTGCAGGATTGTTTTTTGTGCCATCCTGAAAGCTTTCCTGTAAGATTAAAATTATTTTAAAATAGTTTTGAGACTACAGTAAAAAAAAAAAAGCAAGAGGGTCTGTAATACATATAAACTAAAAATACACACATTCCAAACAATTTTCTATTAGCCAAGGACACCTACAAATTTAAAGACTCACATAAGGCACATGGTAGTGTTTTCCTAAAGGAATGGGAAGGGCTAAAGGGAGGAAAAAGCGAATGACTAAAAGATGAATGAATGAAACAAAAGGAGTACTGCACAGATTAATGCTGGTAACACATCCTAAGCTAAGAAATAAGACTCTCGGGCGCCTGGGTGGGTCAGTCGTTAAGCATCTGCCTTCGGCTCAGGTCATGGTCCCAGGGTCCTGGGATCGAGCCCCACATCAGGCTCCCTGCTCGGCGGGAAGCCTGCTTCTCCCTCTCCCACTCCCCCTGCTTGTGTTCCTGCTCTTGCTATCTCTGTCAAATAAATAAAATCTTTTTTAAAAATTTTTAAAATAAATTCTCACATCCCTATCTGTACCTCCTTTACAAAGGGAGTTACACCACCGACATGCCAGACAAACACAGTCTTGACAGAAGGGCTGACCCTTGGGTTATAGTTTAGGTGGACTGGCTCAGGCGGACAGGCAGGTAAGGCACAGTGATTTGTCACTTAAATCTAGTATCGATCAAGACAGTTGAAAAGTCAAAGCTAATGGAATGACCTCCTTGGTTTCCTGTGTGGTCAGGAAATAGAGCTTGATATTCTAATATTCTGGTTAATGAGGTTTCCTTCACATCAATATCAGGTTATCTACAATGTGTTTGATATGGTGTTGGCTACAGGGACACACAGAGCAAAACTAATATGGTCAAGTCCCTCTCCTCAGGTGAAATGCCTGAGCCAGGAAGCCAACCCACAGGCACACACCTTATCATTCAGTGAAGTGCAATGATCTATGCAAGCAGAAAGGAAAATCAGAATTCTGTCTGTCATAATCAGAGAAGACTTTCCAAAGAAGGGAACACCAGAGCACATTTTTGGATGAAAACCAAAGTGGAGCTGACAACGCAGACATAAAGCCAACATTTACACAGCACTTAGTGTGTGCCAAGCATTGCACGTGGAGGGCTTTCCATGTATTAATTCACTTATCCCTCACAACACTACCATCAGGTAGGTGTTCTGGGCACGGCACGGGTCAATACCTTGTCCATGGTTATGCAGTTTGTAAACTGCAAAGCTATATTTGAGCCCAGACCCCCAAATCTGTGCTACTCACTCAAGTAAGTTAAAATTCTTAACTTGACTTAGTCATCAGGAAGGAAAACAGAAAACAAGTTCATGTGCCAAAGTATGTGGCCAACACTGGTTAGCTCTCCCAGAAGCCCCTTTTCTCTTCCTCCAGGGCTCACAGGTACGCTACATTTCCAGCCGACCTCACAGCTAGGGGTGGCCAGGTCATGTGAGTGGAGGTGCAACCCTTCCAGGCCTGCCTTTTCCCCAAAAGTATCTCCCTCAAGCATCTTTCAACCATTCCCTCCACCTCCTTTCAGGTGACTAGAGAAGATAGAGAGCTAAGAGGCAGGCAGAAACAAGATGGAAAATCCTAGATTCCTAAATGACATGGAAAGGCTACCTGCCAACTAGACACATGTAACTGCATGCTACCTAAGCAATAAAATTCTACGTTAATCCACTGAGAGAGAGAGAGAGAGAGGATTTTCTGTAGTTTTGGCCAGTATTATTTGCCCTAATACGTCCCACTTAAAATCAAAGAGGACTGATGTATTTTCATGCACATGAAGCCAAGAGATACCAGAGATAGCATGGTGGAGCAGAGACAACATGAATTCAG